GTGGTTAAAAAGTGCCTTTAGACTACTTAATGTGCATGGCCACATATGAGAACATTAGTTGCTTCTACAGGCAAAACGCTAAACTTCTCTATGAGCAGTGCTTTTTTCAAGCCATTGTGTATGGAGCCTAAAACCGATATCACATTTAAAGTGTTACTAAACCCCAGACCCTGCATTCACTGTATCTGGTCTCCCCGGACCCTGCATTCACTGTATCTGGTCTCCCCGGACCCTGCATTCACTATATCTGGTCTCCCTGGACCCCGCATTCACTATATCCGCTCTTCCCCGACCCTGCATTCACTATATCCGGTCTCCCCGGACCCTGCATTCACTATATCCGCTCTCCCCGGACCCTGCATTCACTATATCTGGTCTCCCCGGACCCTGCATTCACTATATCCAGTCTCCCCGGACCCTGCATTCACTATATCTGGTCTCCCTGGACCCTGCATTCACTATATCCGGTCTCCCTGGACCCTGCATTCACTAAATCTGGTCTCCCCGGACCCTGCATTCACTATATCTGGTCTCCCCGGACCCCGCATTCACTATATCCGCTCTCCCCGGACCCTGCATTCACTATATTCGCTCTCTCCATACCCTGCATTCACTATATCTGGTCTCCCAGGACCCTGTATTCACTATATCCGGTCTCCATGGACCCTGCATTCACTATATCTGGTCTCCATGGACCCTGCATTCACTATATCTGGTCTCCCTGGACCCTGCATTCATTGTATCTGGTCTCCCGGTACCCCGCATTCACTATATCCGGTCTCCCCGGACCCTGAATTCACTATATCCAGTCTCCCCGGACCCTGCATTCACTATATCTGGTCTCCCCGGACCCTGCATTCACTATATCTGGTCTCCCAGGACCCTGCATTCACTATATCTGCTCTCCCCGGACCCTGCATTCACTATATCCGGTCTCCCCGGACCCTGCCTTCACTATATCCGGTCTCCCCGGACCCTGCATTCACTATATCCGGTCTCCATGGACCCTGCATTCACTATATCTGCTCTCCCCGAATCCTGCATTCCCTATATCTGGTCTCCCTGGACCCTGCACTCACTATATCCGGTCTCCCTAGACCCTGCATTCACTATATCCGGTCTCCCCGACCCCGGCATTCACTATATCTGGTCTCCCAGGACCCTGCATTCACTATATATCTGGCCTCCTCGGACCCTGCATTCACTATATCTGGTCCCCAGGACCCTGCATTCACTATATCTGGTCTCCATGGAACCTGCATCCACTATATCTGGCCTCCTCGGACCCTGCATTCACTATATCTGGTCTCCCACAGTACACAGAATATGGAAGTGCAATCATATCAGTAAATATACACTAAATACCTTTTCTCATCAGCAGTATATAGCAGTCTTGTGACTTCTATCAGTGTCCAGAAGAGCACTGGTTAAAGCTTGTAGGAAAAGTTTTCATTCTCCCCCAATTGTCCTGAGGCTGCATGACCCCTGACCCTGGACAGTGCTGATTGGCCCTGTGCTGATCACATGCACTATCCCAAGAAAAATAAAAAAAAAGTCTAGCAATACACACCAAAGTGAGCATGCGCAGCTTGCCCTCAAGGTTCTGTACTATCAGCAGATGGATTGGGGACAGTAGAAGAAGGGGAGGATCAGAGAAGACAGGATCAAACAGCCTTTTTTACACAATGAAGAGGATAACCCCTTAGGTTCCACAGTGAGTATAACAAGCATGCTTTACTGCAACTACAGACTGATTGTACTGTTGTGGGTTTAGTCCCCAGTCACACCAGTGCAAATTTTAATGTGATTTGATAGTTTCAAATCGCATGACAAGTCACACCCTATTGTTTGTCATATCAGTGCGATTCTGACCCCGCCGGAGTCGCACCGATTTGCACTACTATTTGCAAGTTCAGGTGTGACTCGCATAGACATTTGTACATGAAGTTGCACAGATGTCTTCCAAGTGGCACCTGAAGCCAGATTGACATCCGACTATGAAATTGTGTGAACTCAAGTGAAGTCGCACGATTTCAAAGTCAGATTTGGTGTCACCGAAGACTCTGTAACACGTTAATATCATTAGCGATGGTCTTTGCTATTTTTATTTTTACAAATATTTAAATTCTTTTTTCATACTTTGTAAGAATCCTCTGACAGTGTGCACTGTGTGAAATATAATAGTTTTAGGACATTTTGGATGAAATGTTTTTAGTGAAACAGGTAAGACGATAAACAGATCTTCAATCCTCTATATCTGCCACACGTGGGAATTTTATAAATCAAACCATACGGCCATTAGGGCGACTGTCCATAGACATGCCACTATATGATTTATTTAATTGCATTTGTAATTGCCAAGGCCGTGTGTCCTTGGGCAGAATCCCACCGTGCTTCTCCTTCAGGGTATAAATTCAGGACAGAAAAAAGCTGAAACATTCACTGAACATCTCAGAGATCAATCATGAAGCTCCTCGTGTTCGCAGTCTTGCTGGGCTTGGCAGGTATGAATTTTAATTGTACCATACAATAGTTTTCTGCTGTCTTGTGTTGTTTTTTTTTGTTTTGTTTTTTTAATAAATGGAGTCTATTTAAAAAACATCACTTGGACAATTGTCACAAGCATTTTCCTCATATCGCCTCTAATATCTTAGACTTCCTATGATCGCCAGCTCCATCTAGTGGCCAAAATGTATTATATATCCTATGTGATTGAAGTGACTTTGGGTGGGGGACCCATGGAACACAGTTCACTTTGGAGAGGTGGGGAGACCCCTGTCTCAGCTCAGCTCCCCATATCCCTATTATGTGTAAGTCACCCTGTGCCTGTTAGGGGTACAGGGTGATCTGTCCTAATATTGGGTAGACATTTCTAGGAGATAGGTGGGGTGGGGGGTTGTGGATTGTTTAGTGTTGTGTGGCTGCGTCCCATTGTTCTATTGTTTGTCTGTCTTGGGAGCAAACTATTATGGGATGTGTTTATGTGTATTGGCTTGGTGGGGGGGTGTCTCCAGCAGCCCTCCCTCCTGATGGGACTGTCTGCTGGTGTGAAGTTTGAATATCTGTGTGTCTCTTGTTACTAAATGGAGATTGCCCCGCCCTGTGTCATTATGCAGGGAGGGGGGATTGTCCCCTAAGTGTATATATTTTGTATTTGTGTTCAAATAAATTAGTCTTGTATGGTCGGCTGTGGTGTCTGTTGTCGGTGTTCAGACGAGGAAGCATTATTCTAATGGAAGTACTCAGCGCAGGCTGGGACGGTTCCGTTACATCCTAGTTGAGGTATTTTTTTTTTAAGTCTACTGCATTTTGGCCACTAGATGGAGCGGACGATCATAGGAAGGCATAATATAAGAGGAAATATGGGTAAAGTGTAACATTCGTGCAGCCTGAGCAAATGCTTCATCCATTGATGAATGTTTTATAAATAGACCCCCTAAGTAATGCTAATTAACAATTTTGATTTAATTTGTAAAAATAAAAAATACTCAATGGAAATGCCATACATGGCTGCTTGGCATCTGTGGGAAGTGGAACTTTTGACCAATGTTGTTACAAATGGAAGATATAGAACATCCCTATTAATAAATGTCTTTTTGAAAGCTCTGCTGGATATTATAACAAACTGGATTCCAGGAAAATGTAAAAGACACATAAAAATGCAAATTTGTATTAATCCGGGCTTTTATTTCTCAGAGAAGAGATCCAAGTCACCCCTTGTCCCCGCCCCGCACCGTCCCTGAGTTCCACCACTTACCTACCTCCCAGTACCACCTTTTTAGAGAAAACAGAACCAAATATCAATTGGTATGGAATTTGTAATGATAACAAGAAAAGCAGCAAAATAGATCCCATGCAGCCAGCAACAATAGACACCCCCTAGCAACAATGGACCACCTGCAACAAAATACCCCCCAAGTAACAATAGTCCCCCAGCAGCATCAACAGATCTCACCACAGCCAGCCTCAATAGATCCTCCAGCAGCTAACAATAGACCCCTCCCTCAACAGAGTAGATCCCTTCCTGAAACGATCACGCAAAAACATAAGACCCCCCAGCAACAGTAGAGCCCCCACCATCAACAGTAGACCTCCCCAGCATCATTAGACCCCCCTGCAAAAATAGATCCCCCTCCAGCGACAGTACATCCTCCCAGCAGACTGCATAATGGACCGTGCAGTACACCCCCACCACCCCTTGCCATTTCATACATTCAGTGCTGGAGGTTCTCCCAGCTGAAAAGGCCCTGATATTAATACATCATTGCATTTATTTTCTAATGCAATTTGATCTGATATCAGGGAGTGGGAGAGGGACTGTACAGCAGAGCTTATAACGGGGAAGAGAGAAGCTTACAAAGGAGCCAGTTAGCTCTTCTGCAATGTCCATGTGTTGGCAAGAGAGCATCTTGATAAGAGATGAGCTCATCAGTCTGCTGCTTCTCCTTTACTGTCCAGTCAAAGGCTGAGGGAGGGACACGAACTGAAAGTGTAGCAAAGAAAAAAGCAGATCTTCTGCCCTGCCAGCTGCATGGCAGAGCTGTGTAAATCTCAGATCTGGGTGAACAGAGTTACATATCCTTGGGTAGGTAGGCTCCTTTATATTTCATCTGTATTTAGATGAGAGCCTGGAGCAGGGGCGGACTGACAACTCATGGGGCCCCCGGGCAATAGGGGATCATGGGGCCCCTGTGTCCTTGCCCAAACTCAAAAAAGCCTATGTAAAAGGTACCAGGGGCATCTCATGGGCCCCCTACTGACCCCGGGCCCTCGGGCAGTGCCCAAGTTTCCAAATGGTGAGTCCGCCACTGGCCTGGAGTTCAGCTTTAAGTAATCTGCTGTTGTAGTGGCCGGACAATAAATGGTTCTAATCTCAATCTTTGACTGCAGTTGCCTTTGATGATGATGACAAGATTGTTGGAGGTTACACCTGCACCAAGAACTCCGTCCCCTATCAGGTGTCCCTGAACTCCGGGTACCACTTCTGTGGGGGGACCCTGATGAACAGCCTGTGGGTGATCTCTGCTGCTCACTGCTACAAATCGTAAGAGCAATTTCTCTCCTTTAAATCCTGTATTTCTCCTGTTCAACAGTCATCCGCATAGTTCTCTGCATAAATACAAGGTGCTCAGGGGTGGGGCTAGGGTTTTCTCCCTGTGGTAGGTGGTCCTGACAGATGCAGAAAGTGGTACTGACATGATGACATCAGCATATCTCTCTGCATGAATACAAGGTGCTCAGGGGTGGGGCTAGGGTTTTCTCCCTGTGGTAGGTGGTCCTGATAGATGCAGCAGAAAGTGATACTGACATGATGACATCAGTATATCTCTCTGCATGAATACTAGGTGATCAGGGGTGGGGCTAGGGTTTTTTCCCTGAAGTGGATGGTCCTAACTAATGCAGAATGTGGTGCTGGCATGATGACACCAGCAAAGTTCTCTGCATGAATACTAGGTGATCAGGGGAGGGGCTAGGGTTTTTTTCTCTGCCATGGGTGGTCCTGACATATGCAGAAAGTGGTGCTGAGATGATGACATCAGTAAAGCTCTGTGCATGTATACAAGGTGCTCAGGGGGGACTAGGTTTTTTCCCTGCAGTGGGTGGTTCTGACAAATGCAGAAAGTAGTGCTGACATGATGACATCAGAATAGCTCTCTACATAATTGAAAGGTGCTCAGGGGTGGAACTAGGGTTTTCTTCCTGTGGTAGGTGGTCCTAAGAGATGCAGTAAGTGGTGCTGACATGATGACATCAGCATATCTCTTTGCATGAATACAAGGTGCTCAGGGGTGGGCTCAGGTTTTCTGTGGTAGGTGGTCCTAAGAGATGCAGTAAGTGGTGCCGAGATGACTAGGATTTTCTCCCTGTGGTAGGCAGTCTTGACAGATGCAGAAGCAGAAAGTGGCGCTGATGTGATGACATCAGCATAGTTTTTTGCATGAATACAGAGGTGCTCAGGGGTGGGGCTAAGATGCACTGCAATCACACTCTATCCTTAGTCCTATTGGTTGAATGATGCTAGGAAAACTGAGGACATCTTGTGGTAAAGAAGAGGTACTGTAGGCAACAGATTTATAGTCTTTTTTTTAGGGGGCCCATTAAAAAATACCCAGAACTGAAGCTTTAATGTTCCCCAATTACTTACCTTATTATTCAACTTAACTGCTAAAATTGAGCAACTAAAGGCACACTGGTGCTATGTAAAAGACATGACGTTAACTACATAAAGGAATAAGGATCATTTTAGCATGTGATAAATATGTATGTTTTGCTAATTTTTTTTCAGGAGCATTCAGGTCAGACTAGGAGAACATAACATTGCCTTGAATGAGGGCACCGAGCAGTTCATCAACTCCGCCAAGGTCATCAGACATGGAAGCTACAACTCCAGAACTCTGGACAATGACATCATGTTGGTCAAACTCTCCAAGGCAGCCACTATCAATTCCTACGTCAAGGCCGCACCTCTGCCCTCTGGCTGCGCTGCCGCCGGTACCAACTGTCTGATCTCCGGATGGGGCAACACTCTGAGCAGCGGAAGTAAGTCACAAAGTATTTCCTAGTCTTGTGGACATCTAAATCTTGGAAAGTATCATACTTAGAAGTTTTTCTGCTTAGATTTTTACTCTGTACCCAGATCACCAATGACACTAAATAGTGTGAAATCTTGGAAAGGTCAAACATGGAAGATTCATTTTATGCTGACCTATATTTTTGTTTTATTTCCCTTTTAGCTAATTATCCAGATCTTCTGCAATGTCTGAATGCCCCAATTTTGTCCGATAGCCAGTGCCAAAACTCTTACCCCGGTGAAATCACCAAAAATATGTTCTGTGCTGGCTATCTGGCTGGTGGAAAGGACTCCTGCCAGGTAATCTGTGACGGTTTTTGTATTTGTATGTCTATCTTTGAGTAGTACTAAATCCTCAAATGTACAAGAATATAAAAAAATGGGAAAATCAGGTTTTGAGGTTCCAGAGGCAACCAAATATATAAGATGTATATCTTGTGATATTATAGGAGGTTTCACTTAAGTGTGGTGCTTACCAATGAGTTTAGTCCAGCCTGGAAATACGGGTTTAGGGCTATTGGGCCCGTTTTTAAAAAAAATAAAGTTCCTTACATCAGGATTCCCACACAGGGGGGTCAGCTTTATTACAGGTACTTATATATAGCGCTGTCAATTTACTACACGCTTTACATATATATTGTACATTCACATCAGTCCCTAACCCTCAAGGGGTGTACAATCTAAGGTCCCTAACTCACATTCATACATACACATACAAGGGCCAATTTAGACAGGATCCAATTAACCTACCAGCATGTCTTTGGAGTGTGGAAGGAAACTGGAGTACCCAGAGGAAACCCACGCAGTCACAGGCAGAATATGCAAACTCCAGGCAGGGGGCGCCGTGGTTGGGATCTGAACCAACAACCCCAGTACTGCCAAGCGGAAGTGCTAACCATTGAGTCACTGTGCTTTACACAGCATTTAAAGCAAAAACAGCCTCCTGGCTATTTAGCAGCTCACCTTGGGCTACACAGCTCTCAGCCTGGGATGCATTTCAATCCAGAACACAACACTATGCCTCTGCAGACATCTGCTCCCTGCAGCGCTGGCCTATGCCCTGGGCAGGTGACTTCTGTTTCCTGGGTGGGGCCCTGAACGGCAGACAACCCCTTGATTATAAAGGCTGTGCGCTCCTAGACACACAGCCTGCTGGTCCTCAGTAAAACTTAGAACTTCATTCCTCCAAAGACTCCTTGAAGCCTCTAACTTCCAGAACCCAATGTGAGAGTTGCTAAATACAAAGAAAAGTGGAAGACCAGTTGCCTCTGCTTAGAGCAGCCATTCTGGAGGACCTCAATCTGTATTAATGAACCCTGTGTGCCCATTTTATTTTTTAATTTACTTCATTTTCTGTTTCTTTTCAGCAATAGATCATGTCTAATAGTGATCTATCTCTGCTGCAATCAGCCTGCAATAGATCACTCTAGCAGTGATCTACTGCTGTAGCTACAGGCTAGACAGAGGAGTAACAGGCCTCTATACTCAGAGGAAGTGCTGTAATGCCACTGTATTCCCCATGTAAACACAACAGTGAAGTGTTTACATTCAAGCCTACAATGCGTTCCTATTTATTTCAGGTACTTATATAGTGCTTTCAATTTACGCAGCGCTTTACATATACTGTATATTGTACATTCACATCAGTTCCTAACGCTCAAGGGGCATTGGGGCGGCACAGTGGCTTAGTGGTTAGCACGTCTGCCTTGCAGTAAATGGGTCATGGGCTCGATTACTGACCATGGCGCTTCCTGCATGGAGTTTGCATGTTCTCCCTGTGCTTGCATTGGTTTCCCCCGGGTGCTCCGGCTTCCCTCCACATCCCAAAGACATGCTGGTAGGTTAATTGGCTCCTGTCTAAATTGTCCCTAGTATGTGTATGTATGAATGTGAGTTAGGGACCTTAGATTGTACGCCCCTTGAGGGTTAGGGACTGATGTGAATGTACAATATATATGTAAAGGGCTGCATAAATTGACAGCGCTATATAAGTACCTGAAATAAATAAATAATAAATAAATACAGCCTAAGGTCCCTAACTCACATTCATACATACACGTACTAGGGCCAATTTAGACAGGTGCCAAATTTACCTACCAGCATGTCTTTGGAGTGCAGCAGGAAACCGGAGTACCCGGAGGAAACCCACGCAAGCACTGGGAGAACATGAAAACTCCGGGCAGGTGGTGCCATGGTTGGAATTCAAACCAATGACCCGAGTACTGCCAGGCGGCTAACCATTTAGCCACTGTGCTGCCCATCAGTCTGTATGACAATCGAAAGGTCCGGAGCTTATAGTTTCAGCTCCTGGGCTTACTGCTGTGCCAACATCGGCACTGAAAACTGGTGGTTTTAGTTCCAGTGCAGTCAGGATCCCCAGGAGCCACTGAAACCAGCACTGGGGATTAAAAGCCACTATCCCAGCCCTGTTTTAAAATTGTGGATGGAACTTAAGTGGTTAAATTGAAAACTCAACCTTCAGTTTAAATCAACTAAATACATTCCATGTGCACTCAAACAAACTATGTTTAAAGCCCAACTTTCATTTTCTTTAGACAGTCACATCCTGAATCGAAAACCTTGTCCCCTGCCAGCATAATGTAGAGACGGTCCCTTCCCTTGTGGGGAAGCAGTGGTCTTTCTGCCGAAGTCTGACACATCCTCTGTTGAGTCAGACCTAATTCTCCAATCAGCAGGGAGAATGAGCTTTGCTAATTACAGGTCTGATCCCGCTTGGGTGTAGAGGACCTCTGCAGAGGGACCATTACTTCCCCAGCAAGGGCCCCACTCTGCAGATGCTGGCAGGGGATAGGCATTTCCGTTTAGGATGTGACTGCTTTAGAAAGAAAATGAACTGAAGACAGTGAACATCTTTTGAACTTGTTTACCTCTGGAATGTATTTAGCTGCTTTAAACTGAAAGTTCAGTGGGCTTTAAGTATTAAACAAGATATACCACGGGTTAGCCTTTTTCAATTGTTTCAACACAGAAGAACCTTTGAAATAAGTTTCTGGTCTCAGGGAACCCCTGCTAGAAATGACTATACCTACAACTCATGATACATTCATGTGATGGTCATTGGGAAGAATGTTCCTTACACTTGTGGTCATTGGAAAGAATTACCCCTTTTAGATAGCTAAAAGATCAATGGTGTCAGTGGGAACCTATCTGAGAAGTAGAAATTGCTAATTGCCCAAAGAACCAATAGCAACCAATGGAGGAACCTTATGGCTCCATGGAACCCTGGTTGAGAAACCCTGCCACAGGTAATTGTTCTCCCAAGGAATTCATTTTCCCTGGAATAAGATCATTTGCCCAGACAGCACTGCTGCAATGATTATGCAAACTCCATTAGTATTACATCTGCTAAAAATGAGATTGTTTGTTTAAATTCGGTTTACTACTTTGAAGATGACTATTTGATCTGAACAATCTGTCTCCTCAGGGTGACTCCGGTGGCCCCGTGGTATGTAATGGACAGCTCCAGGGTATTGTCTCCTGGGGATATGGCTGTGCTCAGAAGAATTACCCCGGTGTCTACACCAGGGTCTGCAACTACAACTCCTGGATCTCCAGCACTGTGGCTGCCAACTAAACCTTTATCCAGAAGGATCCTTTCTAATGATCCCAGAAACAAATTGGAATTGCTATCTACATTAATGAATAAATTAATAATAATGGTCTAAACTATGGTGATGATTTTCTTTTGATATTTAACCTATAAATATATATAGTTTCCAATAAGGGTCAGATTGTGTTAATGTTGAGCTCCAGTCAAACAGCTAAATACACGGGTGAAGAAACATTCAAGGGAGCCCTCTTACAAATTTGTGTCAATCCAGTCCTGAGGTTAACACAGGTCTGCCACACAGCCCTGTCTGGCAAGGAGGAGACTTGATTTCTCCTAGCTGCATTTAAGTAAAACGTACAGGTCTTGTCCCTCCTCCAGCCTGTGATTGGACAGTGAAGAAGAAGCAGCAGACTGATGAGCTCATCTCACTGTCACTCTGTTGTCTCCTCCTATAAACATGTCCTTTTTTAGCACTACAAGCCAATTGATTTTCTTCTTGCGCTGTTTCTCAATCTGAGCTCTGCTGTACATGGGTGGCAAAAGGTTAATACCAAATTAAATTAGGTTCCCAAATGTCTTGCATTAAAAAAGCACCCCAATAAACATTTTTATTTTAGTTAAGGGACACAAGGACTGCAAATGTCCTGGCCTATGGTGAGGCCTAGTACTGTACTCAAACCACATGCATACAGCGTACGGAGGCACAACTCTAGTCCCTGCATGTACAGGTGACTCCTTAGGAACCACCTTAAAACAAGAAACTTGGATCAATGATCCAGCACCAGCTTAAACTGAAACATAGGCAAGAATTAAAAGATGGAGGAGCTGCATATTCACCAAGTTATTAAAGCAGCTGCTGAAAGGGCTTAACAAACTGAGGGTTTGATATCACTTTAAAGGGTTCCCCTAGCTATAGGAGATACACCCAGGGTTATAAAACATAGTTCCTACTAATCTAATCTCCCCCCCCCCCCCCACACTGGCCAATGTTGAATATCTGTTGGAAGCCAGCGTTGGGGCCCAAAGTATAAGTTGGAGAACATGAAAAAGAGTTTTGTAATCCGAGCAAGGGGGGTACTCTTCAAATCCATGGGGGTCCCAAAAAAGGGGTAGCACTGTCCATTTAAGCAGAAATTTGAAAACAATGGTGGCCAAAGACCTCTCACCACTTCAGCTTCTATCACAAAGGGTCCTACCTCTCCTGGGGCGAGTGAAGCAAAGTCACTGGATTTTGACTGTGAGCAATTCAGGCAGTCCCTGACATGTCAGTAGCAGTTGGATATCTGGATTAATCCTTGGTCGCAGTCTCCACAGATTGCCAGTGGTAGCCCCAAGCAGGAGGCCTCACACATTTAGCAGCAGACCTCAGGTGCAGCAGCAGTGATCAGGGTGGCAAAAGACGTCTCTGGAGCAGACAGCAGCTATGGTCTCAAAGCAGCAGGGTAGGCTTTTAGGAAGCGTACCACACAGGGTCCCCTCATTGCTCTCATAGCAATGCTCAATCACTCCCCATGTGAGACTTCCTCCCAGTGTAGGCTTTCACAGTTAACCTTCCTTCCTCAGCAACTACCCCTTCTGGGACCTGTAGTCCCTCTCAGCCTCTCTCTGGTTTGGGCCACTTTCCTGGGGACTACATCCTCCATGAGTCCTTGAAGCTCCCAGCATTGCTGAGCGATCCTCCGTTCCTGCTGAGTGGCAGCAGACCCCATTGATTGCACATGAAGTTCCTATATCTTGCTTTTCCACACACATTTCTTATTTCCTCAGTACTCCATATACAATAGTTACATAGTGTGATGGCTATTTTGGGCCTATAATAATTTTCACCTTCTTGGGCCTACAATCATTTTTAATATTATTGTGAACTTCTGATAGGGGTCTCAATTTCTGTAACTTATTTACCATCTGTTGCATCACCTCAACCCCCCCCCCCCCCCCCCCCTTTAGAAGTTTCCTGTAGAGGTTTATGGCAGTATGGCCACCTGGCTAAATAAACTGTGAATAAGCCCGGAGCCATCATTTATAACACCTCCTAGGGAGTTTCCTGTGGGAACTGGTTTCAAAGGAGGTATGCTTTCCTGGACATTGGCCTATCCTAAATTCCATCTGATGAACTACAGTTGGCCAATGTCTTTTCACAAATCACAGAGCCCCCCTTTGAACAGAAATGGCAAAATATTGGATCTTATTGAAGGGTGTGTCTTTACTTGGAATATAGGGGGAGGGGGTATAAAGGTATGGCATTCTGTCTCTATGTCCTTTTGTCCCTTCCGGAGCCCAGACTTCAGAATATTAGGATGTCTGTGTAATGTATCAGCATTACTCTATTTCTTTTCTATAACTTTCTTTTCCTATAGTCATCTCTCTATACTGATAATATACTGTATGATATACTGTTAATATACAGAATCTTCTTGCGCTCTTATGTTAAACAATGTTGGGAAAACAATATATATTATAAATTAATCCTACAGCTGCTAACATCTAATCCTATACCAATGGATCTTTTATAGTAGTATACAAATAAAACAAAAATTGATGTAGCGCTTATATATGGATATATATATACTATAATGAGATTACTGTATCATAATAAATAGAGAACACACAGTCAGTACAAAAACACACTCCTTTGTCTACATATAGGAGAAGTAAATGCGTGTTCCTTACAATCTCTAGAGTGGAACTAAATATTGTGAGGTTTAAAAACATGTGAGACCACTGCAAACAGTACACACATAAAAAAAGTCCGGTGATCTGTGTCACATTCCTTCTATTCATGCAAAGTCAAAGGAATGTGTATGATCCCACACACCCTATAGTGTAATCCAAGACCGGCTGAAATGGCCTCTCACCTCCTATCTGCGACCCTGCAGGGCCACAGAGCATATAATATCACCACTGGGTCAAGACAACCTTCCTCTTGAATAGATGACTTGAAGATATATCCCCAGCACACTGATTCCACCTCTCCTATAATATCCTTGATGGTCAGATGAGCAAGATGGATCCCAGCTCAGATCCCCATAGGATAAAAGAAGAAGACATCCTCCATAGTGTAAAAACGCTTTAATAATGCGTTTGGACTAAGTAAAATGCACACTTACATCAGCAAGATGAAATACAGCTCTTTCCCATACAATGGGTGTAAACATGTGGCTGAAGGGTGTTCCAAGATGGCGCCATGCCGGAAGTGCGTCACCACGTAATGCCGTCTACGCGCTGCGTCACGTGACCTCGTGACTTCCTCAGGACCTTCCTGAGTCCTCGTGACTTCCTCAGGACCTTCCTGAGTCCTGAGGAAGTCACGAGGTCACGTGACGCAACGCGTAGACGGCATTACGTGGTGACGCACTTCCGGCGCGGCGCCATCTTGGAACACCCTTCAGCCACATGTTTACACCCATTGTATGGTAAAGAGCTGTATTTCATCTTGCTGATGTAAGTGTGCATTTTACTTAGTCCAAACGCATTATTAAAGCGGTTTTACACTATGGAGGATGTCTTCTTCTTTTATCCTATGGGGATCTGAGCTGGGATCCATCTTGCTCATCTGGATTACCATTGGCTAAATTCATGTATAGACAAAAGGTTATTATCACTTATTATTTAGTTCCACTCTAGAGATTGTACATTTTATTTGACTCTTACTTTTCTTCTGTGTAAATAAATTAGATAGAACCGAGTAAAGTGCGGTAGCAAAACCGCCGAAACAGATGGTGCCCCTTTAGTGAGGAAGTCTGAATGTTTAGGTAAATGTTACTTCTTGTGTGGAATACAGAGCATTAGTTACATCTTTCTTTGTTTTCATGTCTATCGTCCATGTCTGTCTGAAATACCTAGACTAGTAAGCTTTGTCGAATGTCATTTTTACCTTTTGTCTTTACTAATATTTTGATGAGACTAATTATGAACAGTATAATTGACATAAAATTTTACTGAGAGTGAATGAGAAAACATCCTAACTGCTGGGTGCGCCTATTGCAGTGGGGTGTGAGTGTGGGGTGAAAAGGGCTCTAAGTGGACTCTTGGAGGCAGTGAAATAAAACGTAGGATCTGTGCCAATCTGCCTAAAAGCTGTTTCCAGTTGACTCTCAAATGAGATTTGGTCAAGACGCTTCCCAATCTTTGCGATTGAAATGCACCTGTGGGCCTAAATCACACGGAATGATCTTGTTGTGTATGGATCTGTCCTCTTTGTAATTTACTAACTGTGGATTGTAAGCGTGTAGTTAGACCTGTGAACAACAGCTGTATTGTAACTACTACAAACCATACTGCAAGTAGCTGTGCCTCAATCAACTGCATGTTGTACTCCAAGCTCTCAAATTTTGATTATTCAAGTTTGCTCTAATCCTTCTTGGGATAATAGGAGCAATTTAGGAAAAAATCTGTCAGAATACTTCAGAAAGGTCCACGGGGGGTTTGAACTATTGGCAAGTTCAGGTGATCCCCAGGCTGTTTGAAGGGCTATAGTCAGAACAGGGAAAAATTTAAAGTTTGTTCTGACAAGTAGTGAAAAGCAGCAATGGTGACAGGCAGGGGCAGACGGACAGCTCATGGGGCCCACAGGCAATAGGGGATCATGGGGCCCCTGTGTCCTTGCCCAAACTCAAAAAAGCCTACGAAAAAGGTACCAGGGGCATCTCATGGGGCCCCCTACTGACCCCGGACCCTTGGGCAGTGCCCGAGTTTTCAAATGGTGAGAGGGGGCGGTACCAGCCAACCCAATCACTGGCAAGAGATTAGCTACCTCTGGGGGCAACCGCTTAAGATTGGAAAATTATTCCAGGGTCCGGTATCCGTAAGGGTGGGTAACAGTATCAACTCAAGGAAGGCGTCAAAGTATGGTAAACCTTACCAACTGACCCCAAGGGAAGAGATTAGAGATGAGCGAATTATTCAAAAATTCGGTTTGGCTGATTCGCCGAATTTGCCGAATAAATTCGCTTCGAGCCGAATATATTCGCTGCGAATTTAACTTATAAAAAGGGTGTTTCTAGGCTTCAGAGAGCCTTTATATT